TTCCCCTCCCTTTCCCCTCCCTTCCCCCTCCTCCGTACCCCCAAACAAAAAAAGAGATCATAGTAGGAATCTGAGGATTCTTAGGAACCAGTTGATAGCCAATCTCTCAGCAAGCAGGCAATCAAGTGCACAGTGCACACAAGTTTTGAAAGATTTTCTCATTTCGTATAATTTTATTTTATCATTTCGTAATCATTTTATATTATTTTGTACCATGTTTATTTTGTATCGATCCTGACTTGCTGGTGGACAAGGAGCCATCATCACAGAAACAATGCTGGCACAGAACTTACAGTTCTTCGGCGCTCACCACCTGATAATGCTCGACCCAATGTGTGCTGAACATGATGCAACTGGAAGTCTTCCAACAGAGCCTGACACACGACACAAACATCACGGGATATATGGTAAATAATTCAGTATAATACTATAATTAAGTAAGTTTAGTTTATGCAATGAGCCAACTGTTGGAACCGCATCTCACAACATTCAAACGCACTTCACCACAAGACAGTGGAAAGGCAAAGACGAGATACGAGAATTTCAGGAAACTGCTTGGAAGTTGCATTCTTATACAACAAGTTTGCTTATAGCTGGGTGACTATGGCCACCAGCATCAGCATCAAGAACAAACTCTCTCTCTCTCTCTCTCTCTGTGAATGGCTTCCTCACTCTCTGTCCACTACAATTATGGTGCCCGCTGCCTGCCGGCTAAAGTTGCTTTGACTGCCTTCCATCAGTCGGAAAACATGTGCACAATTTTGCAGTTGTCATGACGCACCATGGTCGTACTGGGCCCACTCATTGCTTGCAGTGAAGCCCCAGTTTTCATTGGGGGAAGTTCGGCGCACTTAAAGTTGGGGAAAATCCCCAAAGTACTTCAGTGGAGCACAAGCCTTTCTCTTTTCTTGCAGTGTTTTCTTTTTGTTTACCTGGTTGTCGTTCCCCCAACCCCCCCTTGCATGGGAGAACCGCCCTGCCAGGTCAGCAGGGCAGAATCAAGAAACTGCAGCACACCCCAACCTGGCTGCACTACAAAACATTCTGAAGTGTATCTGGACAACAAGATGCCGGAGATCCATATCAAATGTTGTGTTTGATAAGTAGAGTGTAAAATGCCGGCCTGGGAGACAGTGCCTCCATGTGTCTAGCGCCTCGTGCAACGCATACAGCTCTCTCTCTCTCTTATGTAGACGCTGCTACTTTCAGAGGACAAAACTCTAGACATGAACTCGACGGGTTTGTGCCTTTTTCCATCATCCTGCTGTAGCACAGCCCCTACTCCATATTGACTCGCACCAGTCATAACTGTAAATGGTGGGTTCTGCTGTTTTTAGCATGGGGTACCTATATCTATATAGGGCCAAGTAAGACGCTTCCCCTGGGCCCAGGGAAAATGAGGCCCGCATGTTGGTTGGACGGGACAGACATAGTGCCTCGTTTCGTATGATTTTTATTTTTTTTTGCGGGCGGGCCCGTGCGTTCGTAAGTATTTTTTTCAGAGGCGCTTGGAACAGTTGGTGTTGGCGCGGCTTTATGAAAGAGGTCTTTTTTGGCTGTGGGTTTGTTTCGCGCCGGGCCGTCGATTGCAGAGTGTTGTCCGCCAGGTGTCGGGCAGATTCAACCAGGCAGTGTATATTTCCATGTTCTAGCAGAATATTCATTCGATTTTGCTCAACCTATCGATGGAAGTAGCGTGAGGCCAGCCGCGAGGTTGGAGACTTAGCTGTTCTCTCTCTCTCTCTCTCTCTCTCTCTCTC